ATACATACATACATACATACATACATACATACATACATACATACATATACATACATACATACATACATACATACATACATACATACATACATACATACATACATACATACATACATACATACATACATACATACATACATACATACATACATACATACATACATACATACATACATACATACATACATACATACATACATACATACATACATACATACATACATACATACATACATACATACATACATACATACATACATACATACATACATACATACATACATACATACATACATACATACATACATACATACATACATACATACATACATACATACATACATACATACATACATACATACATACATACATACATACATACATACATACATACATACATACATACATATACATACATACATACATACATACATACATACATACATACATACATACATACATACATTACATACATACATACATACATACATACATACATACATACATACATACATACATACATACATACATACATACATACATACATACATACATACATACATACATACATACATACATACATACATACATACATACATACATACATACATACATACATACATACATACATACATACATACATACATACATACATACATACATACATACATACATACATACATACATACATACATACATACATACATACATACATACATACATACATACATACATACATACATACATACATACATACATACATACATACATACATACATACATACATACATACATACATACATACATACATACATACATACATACATACATACATACATACATACATACATACATACATACATACATACATACATACATACATACATACATACATACATACATACATACATACATACATACATACATACATACATACATACATACATACATACATACATACATACATACATACATACATACATACATACATACATACATACATACATACATACATACATACATACATACATACATACATACATACATACATACATACATACATACATACATACATACATACATACATACATACATACATACATACATACATACATACATACATACATACATACATACATACATACATACATACATACATACATACATACATACATACATACATACATACATACATACATACATACATACATACATACATACATACATACATACATTACATACATACATTACATACATACATACATACATACATACATACATACATACATACATACATACATACATACATACATACATACATACATACATACATACATACATACATACATACATACATACATACATACATACATACATACATACATACATACATACATACATACATACATACATACATACATACATACATACATACATACATACATTACATACATACATACATACATACATACATACATACATACATACATACATACATACATACATACATACATACATACATACATACATACATACATACATACATACATACATACATACATACATACATACATACATACATACATACATACATACATACATACATACATACATACATACATACATACATACATACATACATACATACATACATACATACATACATACATACATACATACATACATACATACATACATACATACATACATACATACATACATACATACATACATACATACATACATACATACATATACATACATACATACATACATACATACATACATACATACATACATACATACATACATACATACATACATACATACATACATACATACATACATACATACATACATACATACATACATACATACATACATACATACATACATACATACATACATACATACATACATACATACATACATACATACATACATACATACATACATACATACATACATACATACATATGTACATGCATGCATACATACGAGAGAGGGAGAGTGGGGAGAGAGAGGCTTGGGGGGATGGGGAGGATGGGAGCAGAGGGAGGGAGAGAGGACGACAGAACACACGAGGGACACAAGGAAGAGAGGAAGAAGGAGAAAAGGGAGAGGACAATGTCGGCGGACTGAGCCGGAGGCTCTAAAGTTACACCTATGTTGACATATACCCATACCCCAACCCCCCATCGACTGCCATGGGAAAGTGTGAGCTTCAGTAGGGTCAGGTATTTGGTGTGCACACGGTTTCCAAAGCGGCAGTGGCAGAAAGAATCAACTGCGAGTATTTTTTTAGTATTTAGAAAAGTTTATTTTTAAAACGGACACAATCTTCGGGTTCCATGTTGCCCTCCCTGAGCAAGTTGGTCCCTTCAGGACCCTCAAGAAGTTGGTCTTCAGGCACCCCACAAATCCCATGGGAAGGACTCAATTGCCGAGGGGCTATGGGACAAAAAGCCATCTTGGTTGGTTGAGTGTACCTTCCCAACAAAAAAGGTTGGACCAAAAGGGCGCCATGTTACTGGGAAGGGCAATCCCTAAAAAAGTACCCACTCGTTTTTTTCGTTGTAAATGAGAGCTACTGCGTTAGGGCGAAGCATCCCACCTAGTGGATCGCGCCCTGGGCTCACATCTGGGGTACACGATCGCCAGATTCTTCTCCAGAATATTTCGCCAAACACGAAATATCTTTGGAGGACCCAACAAACCCAACTTGTTTCCTTCCACCCGAAACCATTTGAATTATTGACCACTGGTAAGGGAAAAACCTTGAAAACCGAAAAGGCTAACAGTCTTTGAGAAAGGCGCTGGCAGCAGCAGCATGTCCAGCAAGCCGTCCACCGTGATCCTCGGCACGGATCCCTCATAGGGGAATCATGACCTCCACTCGAGGATACGTTCATGGAAAATAACATCCATCAATGAATTTGATTTCCTTTAAAACCAGCGGCGAATAAACCATAGGCTTTAAGCAAACGGAAGATGACGACTTCGAGTTTGCATTTGTTTTTGCACCTCCCCGCCTTTTGGCAAGATGGCCCAACGAATACAGAAACCTCCTCATAGGATCCAACCCCTCCGGAAGTGCCCCTTACTCTCCTCCACCTCACTTCCGTTGGATTGCCACGAAACACAGTCTGCCCAACAAGTATAGAGTTCAGGAACGGGAGTGAGACCGAGGCGTTGATTCTTCATATCGAGGGCATTTTCAGGTATGGATGTTGGAGGTATGCATGCATATATACACATGTATATATATATAGATATGCCACCAAAATAGCCTTGTAGTGCAGTGCATGCCCCTTCGATAAATGGTGCATCACCTCCATTCGTGCATGGACAAAATCTTGCACCACTTTGAAACAATGGTTGGAGCAATAACGATTGTTGGCATTTACAGGCGAATCGAATCAGAATCCAGGGTTTCTGAACGGCGGTGCGGTGGATGAAATTCCCAATCATCCACAGCAACTCCCAAACACATACCTGAAAATGTGCCTTAAATTGCCGGCCCCGCCCAGAAACAACAGGTGAGTCACAATCAAAACCCGGCATTGAAGCGGTCTACCCAGAACAATGTAACGAATTAAGAAGGCGGCCGCAACTAATTCTTACTTGGACTTTCCCTTACTAACCTTCGTCTACCCGAGTTTGATTCTGGCTCAGCTGAAAATGCCAACTTGATGATACGCTCCTTTCCTTTTCCTCCGGCGCGCTCGGTCCTTTGCAGGGCTCTTTCGCCGAGGGCACCGGGTTGGGCCAGCCCCTCGTAGATTCAGCTCATTTAGCCCATCATCGGATACGTCACCAGGAAAATATGAGAAATATGTCCAGTGAACTTGATTCCCTTGAAACCAGGGGAAGATGAACAAAATATAACATGTCTTAAGCACATGCATGAAACTAGTAACTTGTGTCTTGTTTTGGCCTGCCTCTAGTTGGTGGTTTGGAGATTACACTTAAACTCTACAAAAGTCAGGGTCAAATCCCCAAACCGCCAACTCAACCCACTATCTAAGGGTTACCAGATTTCTTGTGTTGATTCCAGCAACCACAAACAAAATACAGCAACAAACAAAATACAAGTGCTCCTTTGAATGAGCCACTCAAAAAAAAACAAAAAAAACAGACGGCGATCGTTTCAAGCATTAGCGGTGTCCCGCCGTCGCCCGACTCTCCCCTTCTGTGCGTGACAGTTAAATGACAGTTCAATGACATTCAATGATAACCAAAGGAAGGCGTTTCAGGCTCCAGTTGTTTGTTGGATGAATCCAAGCTCACATGGCTGTGGCTCAAAAAACCGGTGCCAAAATGGAACCCTGCCTGGTAAGTGGAAACATGGACCAAAACCTGCATAACCCCTCCTGTTTAATTTTGAGCCACACCCACATCTTTCAAACGCATGGAAACCAGCAAAGACATGTGCTGCTTTGATCTCAAGAAGCCAGTTGTCAAGGGCATTTGGCTGTGGCTCAAAATTAAGGAGCCAGGATTACGCAGGTTTTACTCTTTGGTTCCATTTACCAAAGGGGCCATTTTGGTACATGTATTTAAGGCACAGCCATTTCCAGGTACAGTGTTTGGAGGTATGGATGCCTTTTCCCACCAATATAAGCTTGCAACGCAGAATAAACAAACAACATAGAAATTATCTCTCCTCCACAGCTCCAAACCCCACACCTGGAAATGTCCTGAAAATTGCCGCGCCCCCACCCAAAACCAATGGTGGTATCCCCAACAGCCCAAAGGGAACTTCCTGGAATTCTCCACTCCCGGAAAGCTGCAAACCAGCCCCAAACCGCATATGGCCTATCGGCCCCGAAGCTTTCAGCTGCTGGGGCAAACGGGTCATTTTCCAAAATTAGGAGGTGGCAGCATTTTCTATCATGGAGGTTACCCAAATGCAATTTTAGGCTGGAGACTCCAACGGCAAAGGCTGTGGAAAAAAACCATCCACCAACATGTGAAAAGCCATTGTGCCATTGGGCTTTTGCCTTTTCGACGGTGGCCCAACCTTGAAGTTGCCCAGTGAAGCTTCAGTTCCTCACTGAGAAAACGTCCAAATTCAAACCTTTTGTTACCAAAATTGTTCCCAACCCAAAAAGTGACTCAAGTCCATGAACTTGAGTGAGCCCGACGTTCACATCTCTGCTCGCCAGATTTGGCAGCGAATCGAAGCCGGTCCTGTCACCGGCGGGCGAACTGCGAAATGCGTGTCGGAAAGCAAAAAGGGGGGCGGGGGAGGCGGGTGGGCGATTTTTTGCTGGATTCTTTGTCAAAGGACCCAAAAAGCCTGCCCTTAGGACGAAAGCAACTGGGTCGATCTTTTTGAGGGACCACCTTTTTTGCAGGTGGTCTAACAAGGTGTAGGAAGCCCTGCCATGCGTTGTGTGTCAAAATCTGGCAAAGGAAAACCATCATTTTGCGGGGTCCACCCTTTCTTTCTAGTTTGAAACTAGGAACCCAAAAACAGGACGAATCCGAGAGGCGCGAGGCTCCGAATTCGTCGGCAACCCCGTGCATGTTTGTTTTTTTGGTGGAAGGGAACCTTGGATGAAGCCGTCAGTACTTGGGTGTTAGGCAAAGCTAGTAAGCTGTTGCTCACCTGGGCTATAAGCCACTGAATCTTCCCTCTAAGTGGGGTTAAGCTTTTCAGGGATGCAAAAAAAACAAGTGGGTAACCACCCACTAACTTGGCCGAAACGCCTAGCCCATTGACTCAGCGGCGTAAAAGGAAGCCCGCGCAAGGGTGCCAGGAAGCTAATAAGCAATTAGATCCATCTAGCAAAAGGTTTGGATTTGCTGTGTTTTTGTGGATGATCACCTATTGTTCCTGTTGCCCCACTTTTAGTTTTCCTTGCGTACTCTTTTAATATCCTACAGGGGTGCATCCACAAAAGCGTTTTCTGGAAAGCGAGTCCAGTCCCTGCCTCTCATGTGTCATGCTTGGAACTCGGCAATGCAAGAAGGATGGTTCGTCATCGTATCGATTGAGCCTGAGAGATTTCTGACAGTGGATAACGGTTGATTCCGCCTACCACTCCTGCCATTGCAAGTGTGCAGCCCGAACATGACCTATAACAACCAGCAATAGGGGTGTTGGACCATTGAAACATGTTTCTGGGTGCATGGATTGAACAACAACAGCAAGCTGAAACAAGATATTCCGTCATCAATGATGGTGTTGCTGCTCAAAGAACAGTCACTCTTGTCCAAGGCCCACTAATGTCTTCGTCCAAATAAGCACGGTCCCCAAGCAATATTTGTTCCCCAAACTCCAAAAGAACTCAATACCCAATTTGGACTAGGCCAATTCTAAACTAATACTGAACGGGCGACGTCCCCCTCCGACCCCAACTCCTCTCACACTAGGGCAGCGTTGGGGTCCCTCTAGAACCACGACGAATCCAACAGTAAAATAACACACCATCACTCAAGAAATACTCAACCAATATCAAACCATTATTAGACGAATACTCTACCAACACAAATCCAGAATATATGTATGAGACGGGTTCTCTGCCGTTCTTGGAAGGGGGACTTTTGGACGAAGGCCCCAAGGTGCCGAAATCCAACGAATGTCTGGCTGCCCGGCCATGATTTGTCTTCATCAGTGCCTGGACCACCTTACGGGTGCGTCTTTTGTTGGAATCGGACCCCCCTGAAGCTTTGTGTTTTCCTGTTAGCTTCCCTTTAAGACCTTTAAGACAACAAACAGAAGGTGTGTCCTCAAAAAAGATACACCATCGCGGTCGTTGAATGATGGGAAGGGAAGAGGGCATCTCTGGTGATGCCCAGGAACACAAAGAAAACAGCAGTGAAGGATGGGTAACATGAAGAGTCATTCTCGGATTGGAGGATACACCCATATCTGATTCAGCTTGGATCAAACAAACAGATCGCGGTCGTTGGATGATGGCAAGGGAAGAGGGCATCTCTGGTGCCGCCCAGGAAGAAGAAACAGCAGTGAAGGATGGGTAACATGAAGGGTCATTCTGGAATGAATTATCCCTAAATTAACCCTACGTGAAGTATTCATTTTGGACTTGTATCTAATTGGGCAAATTGCTCTGAATACAAAGCAGGAATCAGGAATCCCCAGATGAAAGACCTGCTCGGTGTCTCAAAAATGGGATTCGAATCCCTCAAATGCGTTCGGGCTTCCTTGCGGTTCCTTTAAGCCAAGCTCAAAGGATTCCCTCGAAGAACACTAATGAGAAAGCTCGTCTTGCCGATCGGCGCTCATAACTCGTCCTGCTTTGGGCATGTTCCAAACCTCTAGTGGCTAGAGGGGAAAACGGTACCCCTTTTCTTCCAGAAGGGGTGCTCCCTGGGATGTATGTGTAGCGCTGCACAGCTCAGAAAACACTGCGAATACCATGGTTTCGTGCATGTGGCGGTGCTGGCGTCTAGGCGAAACGCGGGTTTTTTGATTGTGCAAGGCATGTGGTGTCTGCATCTGAGCATCCATCTGGTCAAGAAAAAAACAAAAAAACTCGAGAAAACCAAAAACATCAAAGTTTTGCTTGTGCAAGGCATCTGGTGTCTGCATCTGAGCATCCATCTGGTCAAAAATCCTAAAACACCTCGAGAAAACCAACAATAACAATATCTGGCAAGTCTTCTGTCAGGGTCGTCTCAGGGTCGTCTCCAAAGAGTGTCTGACATTTTGTTTGGTTTTCTCGAGGTGTTTTTGGGGTTTTCTGTCGTTTCTCTAGGTTTCCTTTGCTTTGTGTGTCAAGGGCTCCCTAGCTCCAGTCTCACAACATGTGGATGTGAAAAAAAACTCGTCTGTTCCGCAATGTTGGGTTCACACTCCTTGGCCTCAACATCAATTCGCGTAGTCATGGCAAATGTGAACTTTGTGGAGAGTTTCCGGCGCCAACTCGGTGAACGAAATGCTGCCCTGTCCTTTGAGGAAGCCAGAATTATCTTACCCCTAAGGTTGTATTCCCCCTGCATCTGCGCTCCAGTTTCTGAGTAGCAAAGAACTAGGAAAACACTGAGGGGATAATAAGGGAATACCAGGGGAATAACAAGAGGAAATGCTAGGGAGAATACTAGGGGAATACTGGGAGATAATATTACGAATAATCCAAGAAAATACTAAGGAATGCTGGGGTTACTGGGAGAGTGTTGGGAGAATGCTAGGGGTGTTCCAAGAAATACTAAGGAATACTGGGGCAATACTGGGGGAATACTAGGAGCATACAACCACTAGGGGTAAAAAGAATGCTAAAGGAATAGATAATACTATTATAAGGGTAGTACTTGGGTAATATTAAGGGGAGATTAGGGAAGTATTGTGAATATTGGGAACATACTTGGGAATATTGAAGAATATTGAAGGAATACTGGGGAGTGCTGAGAGAACAGGAATATTAACGGAACAATGAGCAATATTCAGGGAATTCTCAGGGAATAGTAAGGGGAATGCCATAAAATGGAACACTGTGAGAACAAAACAAATATTAGGAAAACACTGAGGGGACAATACGGGAAGTGCAAAAACCTCGAGTTTCCCCAATTCCTTTTGGATTTTCTTGGTATACCCCCAAATTTTCTCTCAGTTTTCGAGTGTTCCCCTAATATTCCTTCAATATTCCCCTTGGCAGCTTCTTGGTAATTTCCTAGCAAATCCACTGCATTCCCCTCAATATTCCCCTACTATTCCTCTAAGATTCTCTTGATGTACCTCTAGTAATTCCTCAGTGCTTTCCGAGATTCCCTTAACATTCCCCAAGTAGTCCGTATTCTCCTGGCATTTTCAAAGTATTCACTCGTGTTCCCCTAGCATTCCCCTTACTGTTCCTCGAATAGTACCCTATTCCTTCAGAATTATCTTACCCCTAGAGTTGTATTCCCCTAGTATTCCCCTCATAGTCCCCTATTTCTTTAGCATTCCCTTAGCCCTAGAGTTGTATTCCCCTAGTATTCCCCTAATATTGTTCAGTATTCCTTAGTATTTTCAGGTGTACCCCTAGTATTCTCCAAATATTCCCCCAGTATTCTCCAGCATTCCCCTTTGTACTTCGCCTGGTATCCTGCAACTGCGCTCCAGTTTCTGAGTAGCAAAGAACTAGGGAAACACCGAGGGGATAATAAGGGAATACCAGGGGAATAACAAGAGGAAATGCTAGGGAGAATGCTAGGGGAATACTGGGAGATAATATTACGAATAATCCAAGAAAATACTAAGGAATGCTGGGGTTACTGGGGGAGTATTGGGAGAACGCTAGGGGTGTTCCAAGAAAATACTAAGGAATACTGGGGCAATACTGGGGGAATACTAGGAGCATACAATTACTAGGGGTAAAGAGAATGCTAAAGGAATAGAGAATACTAAGGGTAGTACTTGGGTAATATTAAGGGAAGACTAGGGAAGTATTGTGAATATTGGGAACATACTAGGGGCACAAGTACAAGGCTGAAGTGAGGGCAAAGCGAAAGTTCAACCCATATGCTTGCGGCAAGTGACCGGCTTAGATTACTTAGGTTTGTCCTATTGTCTGTACTCCTGAGTCGCTTAGAGATGGCGCATACTCCAGAAGAACAATGTGCGCATGAAAAGACACTTGTTTTAAAAAAATCTAGTTCTCAGCCCTGTTTTGCCAGAAAGCACCAGTGTTCTGTAGCATGTTCATGTTAAAATCACATCCCCATCCAACACCCGGTCTCTTTTCGTCAGTGACTCTATTTCAATCGAGCCCCTTCAAAAACAGAACCGAACACGCAGCACAGGGCTGGGGTATCCGTTTTTTGGCATTTTTGGCAGCGCAAGTGTTGGTTGTAGATGCTCACGCCGCATCTAACGGCGCGGAGCATTTCGCACATTTTTACACAAATGCTTCTCCACTGTTCCGGCCTCGTCGGCGCCTCGATGACTTTTGGTGGGGTGGGGTGTGGTGTGGTGTGGTGTGGTGTGGTGTGGTGTGGTGTGGTGTGGTGTGGTGTGGGGTGGGGTGGGGTGGGGTGGGGCGGGGCTGGGTAATAACGTGCGGAGCACAGGTTGCTCGAATGCGTGCAGTTTTTTCGGTTTCGTCCCGGACACACCTTCTCCAAGTATCACACAGGCAAAATGCACTTATATATGCCCTAGCATATGTTATCGAATCTTGCTAATTACGACTCGACGACTGGCCCCCCGAAGGCTCCAAGACTACGACATACACTTCAGTTCTGTGAGCCATAGTTCGCTGCAGTTTGCCAAGAATGTTCCCTTGCCTCGGGATGATTGAACAGTTGGAAAGACGTGCAGAGGTGGCTTCCACCTTGTGTCATGCGAAGAAGAAAGGCGGGCCGAATCCCGAGCTGTGGCAATACTTGCGTAATTGCCAATGGCGGCGCAACACGCGTGATTTGCCAATGCCGCAGTTACTTCATGTCCAGGGAGGCTGATTGGGCCTTTCCTCCGCACAGTTAGTGGCGGCGTGACCTTGTACATGGGGTCTAAACTTCTACCAACCCTACCCCACCCCACCCCACCCCACCCCACCACACCCCCACCCACCCCACACCCCACACCCCACCGCACCCACCACCCCACCCCACCGCCGCGCCTAGTGCTTCTGGTAGCAGTAGGCCACCAGCAGCCCCCAGCCCAGCGCCGCCCCATGGCGCAGCAGTTTGGCCCGCAGATCTCCCGCCACGCCTTGCTGGTGATCGATCGCTGAACGGCGCTTCTTCCCGGGTGGGAAGGGGAATGAACCGGTGAAAGGGGTAACAACATCAAATCGGCCCCTCCAGTAGAGAGGGTCGAATAAGTTGGTACCTGTTGTGTCTTTTTAAAAAGGGCACCTAGCTGGGGCACCTAGGCAACCAAACCGGGGACGCTTCTCTTGGGGCCGCTTAAAGCGAGAAACAGTCCAGCGCCATGTTGGCGGCCGCGGATTGCCAGGCAGACAGCTCGATGGGCATGGGCATGAAGTAAAGGCTAAACCTGAGGCATCGCTAGGAAGAACCTGAAGAGGGTGGGGTCGGGTGGCGTGGGGTGGGTGGGGCGCAGTTGTTCCGGGCAAGTTGTGCATTGCTTTGTTTCCAAGAGGACCACGGTGCAATGCCTGTAGAGTACTAGAGCACAATATCCAGCTGCTGTAAGAACACAACCACACCAACAAAAAGACAAAAGAACCTGGTAGAACTAGGACGAACAAAACAGGGATAAAGTCCAGGCCAAAGGACCATCATTTGCTCCAGTCACATGGAACACATGTGACACACGTTCAGTAGTGATAGGTTCCCTTTGAAACCAACAGGGGAAATTAAAAGATATTCATTTCATCACATTATGCGCAGTGAAGCTTGAAATTCCATGGGTCCTCTTGAACTTTCCAGTGCCATGGCTCGTCTTCTTCGAGGAATCAGACCCCCCCAACATAGGCATCGGATTTCCTGGTGGTTTCCCTTGAAACCAACCGAAAAGGGGTGCCCTCAAAAAGAAACACACCCCCAAATTCAACAGGATCCAACGCTGTCAAACGAAAACTTGTATCGAACACGAAGCCTTTGGTTGGAACGTAATAAGTCGGTACAGGCTGAATTATTATTACTATTATTATTATTATTTGTTTAAAATATATTAATTACTATGATTAAATATTACTGTTGTTATTAGTATTATTTGTGTTCCCATTATATATGGTTGTTATTATATGGGAATCCCAGGCCGAGCCCCTGGCCATGTAAGAGAACTTCGCAAGGGCCACATAGCCAACCCAGGTTGCGAGATCGGAAGGACGAATTTCACAGGCCGGTCCTTAAGCGTTTCGTTCATTGACCGACGTTTCGTTCCTTGGAATCAAAGGAGTGAATGAACATAATATTGTAGTAGGTACTTCAACACGTAGGGTTGGATAAATCACCAGCCTCTAACCCACGGGCGTCAATTACCAACCTAGATGGGGTCATTGTTTTTCACTGTCTGGAGGTTCTCAGAGTCAGAAAAGGGGCTCCCTTCAACCTAACACCAAGGGGGTGAAGACAATCTTCCGATTAGCCTGGAGGACCCTACTAGTGAGAAGAACCTCACCCGAAGTTAGCATTATTTGGGACCCAACCCTGAACCAACCTTAAAACACCTAAAGCCCTAAACCAACCCTGACCCTTTAACCCTGATAGGCGTAAAATAGATGGGGCCAGTAGAAAGTCTGAAGGTTTGACATGGCTCAAGAGATTTCTGGGTCCCTCTATGGCAGAACCCTCCTGCTTAAACTTCAGCGGTGGTGATGGTACTCATATGAACCGAAGCTCATGCAACAACAAAAAAAGCTAGCCCTAAACCCACCCTGAACCCTAAACCAAACCTAAACCAAGCCTACACCAACCCTAAACCAACCCAAAAACCCTAAACCCACCCTAAACCATCAACCAACCCAAATGCCATAAACCCACCCTACTCCCTCAACCAACCCCAAGCCAACCAAAGCAACCTGAAACCACCCCTAAACCCGGGCCGCACCCTGACTCTAAACTTAAACCTACTTTAAACCAACCCTAAATCCTAACAACACCCTAACTCGAAACTTAAACCAAACTTAAACCACCCCCCCCCCCCCCAAAAAAAAAACATGTCAATGTCCCGGCATTTCCATCCATTTCCCCCGGCATTTCCATCGCGGGGCTGGTACTTGGCCAAGGGCCGGATCTGCGCTAAGAAGACCAGCTGCGCGCCCAACCCCCCGCTGCAGCCCGCCTGATGGACCACTCGGTCCCAAGCGCTCGGGACAAAATCAGGCCGACCCCGGAGGAACAAAATCCGGTGGTTTTTGTTTGATGGTGGGGGTGGTTTTGGGTCCCTCCAAAAGTGGGCTGAATCCCCATTCAAACCTGGGGACACCCCCAATTAACAAGCTGGAGTTTATTTTTGGAGTCAGACCTTTTAAGCACCCTCCAAAGGGTCCTCACTCTAGTCACGTTTATCCCATGGACCCCCTTAAAGGCTTGCCCTGAAAAACTGGCAAGGGGCGCTTTGTGAGTGGATTGGCGGAAAAGTCCGAACGTTTGTTTGCCACTCAAATGGTCTGCCCAAAGTGCTACTTCGAGGAACAAGGCAAGTAGTAAGCAAAACATCCGCAGAACCCGGGAAAAGTGACTCAAGTAACCAGAAACTCAGGGAGTGAGGTAAAGGAACTTCATTTATAATGAGCTCGTTCTCCCGAGTCCGTAAGGTCGAAACCCCAAAACGTAGTCAGATAGGGCCACACAATAATGTCAACCTTGGATTGAACAAATGCAACGGACTTCTGCGCGTTTTCGGTATCCAATGCTAAACAACTCAAAACTCTGACGCGGACCTCCAGGACCACCTTAAATTGGGACGGCACGTCCGCCAGGACCATTTTCCCGCACACAAAAAATGCAATTCCAGCGCAATTAGCACTTTATCTAATTTCTGGACGCGCCCTCAATCCTGCAGAGCTGCCAAGTGCAACTACCTTCTCCCGCTTGCTCCCCTGGAACCCGTTTAATCTGAGGTTTGCCCTTCTGGGGGTGCGGGGGGGAGGGTGAATTAATCCGGCATTGACATGACCAAGCAAAATGCCCAGCTTTTCCTCCATTTACAGATACATCCCCAAAACATGGAGACTTTCCAATGAAATTGAGTCCCGCAACCAACAGGGCAAACATGAGGAAAACCAAAACTTCCGCGAAAACTTCTAGGTTTTGGCTGCAGGATTTCCTGGAGCAAGGGACCTCCTAACCCAAAAAGACCCCGGGTCAAGCGTCCCTTCGGCCTCTTGGAGGAACTTGGCGCTCACGTCCCCCATGATCCAGTGCCAGAGCGCTCGCGCCAGGAAGGCACACCACACCTCGAGTGGATGGCCCTGTCATATTGTGGAACCCATCGATTTCTAACGGATGGCCGAAATGGCCTCGGGTCAAAATCCCGTACCTCCAGTGAACACCCCAATCCCCATGGCGGGATTTTGTCAATCCCCTGGTAAATTACAGGTGAATCATGATTCCAGGGCTTCTTCGGGGCAGGACTTTGTCCATCCACAGTACCAGATGGACAAACTCCGTTTCGCACCTGGTGGTTTCAGTGAATTTTCCCGGCTGCTTTCTCCATCCCAACCAACTGGTGCAGGAGGTTCAGCCACGGACCAACTCGCACCAAAACTCCAGGAGATTTCAAAGCCACGAGAAACAAGCGATGGCTTGGCCAGCATCCTGGACTCTTCATTTTCAGATCCCCCGCTAGAAGCTTATTTGTTTTGGGCGAAATGGAAATCCAACCACGAAACACTAAACAAATTAAAGGCTAAGGGGATGGATGGGAGCTGCCAGGCATCTTTGATGACTTCCCGAGCGTTTTTTTTTTGAATCGCATATTGAGTTTACAAGTTTTGAATTAGCACCAAAATATGTCGCAGCAAACATTGTATCAATGGAGGCCGGCAATACGAAAGGGCCACCCTCCGAATTCACCCAAACAAGTTCTGTGTTGGTTCTCCGAATTGGGAGATCTCCCTGCTCAATCACCTACATATGTCGTCTGATTCTACCGACTGGGTCATGAAGGTTCATATCGGCCTATAGGCCTGGCTATAAACCCTGTAAAACCGGGTCGAACCACCTACCCCAATATTATGTTTTATTGTCTTCTTCTTTTCTTTTCTTTTTTTTTGGGGGGTTGGGCGCTGCTTACATGGAACCCTAACATAGGTTTATGAGGTTCCTCAAAAGGAGCTTTGCAAGAAAAAAAACAACAACACTGTGTTGGACTGTCAACATTAAATGTTAAATCGTGGGCGAGTAGCCGTCACCCTCCAAATTGTGATGTACTTTTGATGGAGGGGGCGGGGTATTCGGTATTCTTGTATGATCTGCATCACCCTCAACATTGTGGCTTATTTTTAGTGGGGGGGGTCTTGCATTGTTTAAATGCATTTTACAGAAATTCCATGGAACCTATAAAGCAATTTTGAAGCAAGAGTTAGACCACCAACTCAAACACGGGAGAGGCCCTGCAGGGGGGTCTAGAATGCCAACAAATGCGTGCTTTGGACCAAGGAAGATTATATTTTCACCATGGCGCATCATCTGTGGGAGAGGATTTTGTACTAGTGAGAACGGAGATTAGGTGATTGCACCCAGATTACAGCGGTTGATTTATACCACATCTCACGCAGGTTGAACATCCAAGTATCCCAGACTTTTGGAAGGGAGGTCCCCTATATTCCCACTTCAACAAACTAGAAGAAGACACAAAGAATCAATCCCACACTTGTTTGTTGGGGTGGGCTTCCCCTCTATTCTCCCATGGGCTCTTCCACCCCCGCAAAAAAAAAACGCAACAAACTCGCGCTTCTGAGCAAAGCACGCCGCCCCAGTAGAGCAAAGCGAAGGTCCAGAAGGACACCTTGGCGCTGTCAAAGGAGTCCACGGTGTTGGCCAGTAGAACTCCCAGGTGGAAGATCTGACCCCAACTCCGGTGCCTCACGGATCTGGAACCGCGGTCCAGATCTGGAGACAGAATGAAGATACTATAATTCTAGAGTTGCAGGGTCAAGCAATTCTACTCTGATGTGAACAAACAGTTTCATGATTCCGTGATTCCAAGTTAATAAGTTAGACACTGATAACAGTCAACATGAGGGGAATGAAAGAAGAAAGAGAACTACAAATGCAGGAGCTGGCATTGAGGCAATCTTACGTTCAACCATATTGACTTCATTTTATCTTCAGCTTGATTTCTTACTAAAAATGACAACAACAATAAAGATTATACATATACATAATGCTCCTATAGCCATCTTTTTTAATCTAACTATTTTGATTATGTTATATTTGGATGGAAGGGGGGTCCTAAGGAAACCTAAAGAACCCTAGGCGACCCAAAGGAACCCTGAACCTCTCAACTATTGAGAAACCGGATAATGTGCGCCGGAAAGCGGAGGAAAAAACAAAAAACAACGTGAATCCTGAATCAAAAAGATGAGAAGGCAAGCAATGGATTCGGCTCGGCCTTGGGGAGTGGCAGGGTACCTCCAATTCGCCCAATTCGCTCCCAGAATCGCCCAGAGGGCATCATGCGCATTGGGATCTGCCAATGTTTCAGGGGCAAATCGACTGAATTCCACAGCCATGTTGGACACTATACAGGTCTGTCTTTCTTTACTTGCTGGTGCTCAGCAGGGAATGAGGGAAGGAAGCTTATAAACCATCCCCTATGGTTTCTTCTCAGGGGATCCCTGGGTGCATTCCCACATTCCCTGATGAGCACCAGCACGTCGAAGGGTACGCCCTTTGTTTGTGGTTTGTAAGTAAAACCAAAACGACAACTTTTGCTTCTGTGTGTGGCGGGCCTAAAAACAGACACACCCATGCAGGCCTGCTGGAACGTTTTTCAAAACGTCAAAGGCGGTTCGCCAGCTTCCCTCTACAAGAAGCAGGTTTGTTTTTTCAAACCAATCCACACCACCAGCTAAAGGGAACCTGAATAATCCCTTACCCCACTTTCATAAATGGACCCTATGAATAAAAATACCTGGTTTTCCAGACTGGCAAGGGATTCTGCAGGTACCAGCTGCCGGTGCGCCTCAAGAGCTGCTGGCGACCCAGATTCGGGGCTGATTCAGTCTACCCCAAAGTGTTCAGTCTATTCAAACAGTTCTATTCAAACAGTTGGAGACCTCAGAATAGTTGGAAGGGACAAGAACCCTAAAATGTTCAAACAGTTGGAGACCTCAGAGTTGGAGACTGAACTCCTTGGACGCTGGCAAATGCTCTGGCGATGTTTGGTGTCGCCGTTTCGAAAGCCGGCAAACAAAAGGCACCAAGTCACGACAAACGAGGCGCGGATTTGGATTTGGATTTGAACTGGCTGTTGTAAAAAGGGAAACCCCTAACCACACAACCTTTGGGAGTTTGGGCTTTCCGAAAAAGTGTTGGTTCTCTCCAAACTGTTAAACTCCCAAACATCACCCCTCACCAAAACCACCAACAGTACAAAACCGACGCCCCCCAGCCCCCCCCAAAACCGCTGGACACGGCACGAGAGCGGCGCCGCGAGCAGCACCCAGAGGCGGCCCCTGGCCAAGTTGGCCTTGGATTCTTCAACTGGCACCTTCGAAGGATGTGTCCCTTACCTGTGGGCTCAAGGGGCTCAAAAAAGGGGGGAGGCAGCCCTCACCCCCTGGGCTCAAGGCGCTCAAAAGAGGCGGCAGGGAGTTTCTTCTGTGGATTTCGGAGCCTTTGTATTGGGGAGACCACCTTTCAAGGGGCGACTGCGGAAGGGTTTCGCTGCAATTGATGGAGGACCAGTTTCACGAGCAACAAGTCCATCTGCACAAAATATCTTTGAGCTTACATGGGAGACAAAAGGAGCTCATGCCCATGACGCCGTTGGGTTCCTTTCAGGTTGAAGACATTGAGTTCCTAGTTGTTGTTTCTTCTCTTGGAACTTCCCCCTTTGGATGGTTTTAAGGGCTTCCGCCGAAATGTGTCTGTTACGAGTTGGGTTCTAGACCTATCAGCTGGCTTGGGTTTGGAGTGGAGGTGAGGGAGTATCTAGGCTTCAAATCCAAAGCCTGAACGAAGCTAAACCACCATTTGCAGATTCCCCATGAGACAAATATGCCCAGAGTAAAATCGATTCCCGCTTAAACCAGATAAAATCACACAAATACAAGTCAAAAAATGGGCGTAAACCACGAATTCAGGGTTGCCTGACATTGACCCTCCCCCGCACAACCAAAGGATTGGTCCGAGTCAAAGTGCCTGAGCATGGAGAGAATCAACTCGGGTCTTACGTTGCACCTTCAAATGGGCTCATGTTTGAGTCCTGGTCCCAACTGGGGGCAACGGCGTTGTGGAATCCTTTTCCTAAAGTGCATGGGACAACAAAAAACTAAAATTGTTCATTTACCACTCAAATGGCCCCAAAAAGTTCAAAGTGGCCGATATCCCAAGCAAAAAGTCCCCCCAAAAGTTTAAAGTACGGGGTGAAAGAATGGGAAAGACATGACGTTCTGTCCCGAAGCCGGCAAAGGGTGGGTTTTAAACTCGCGGACATCTCAGAAGTAGTTCCTCGTTTGGTTTATGGACATGATTTTTGTGGGGGGCGGGGTGTTCCTTTACTAGGCCCTCCCCCCCCCCCTTATTGATTTTAATTCCGAGGATGACGGGCTGTGAGGCCCAGCGACCGACGAATTGGTTCTGGCTTTCGCGCGGGGCTGATGCCTTGGAGAAAATCCGGTTCGACCAGGTGATAGCTACGCTTCACCGCCCAGGTGCTATGGAAAGAGTGCTGTGGCCCGAAAGCGCGGACCAATACTTCCTGGCGCGGAAAGGGACACTTGGGAGGTGTAATTAGCTCGCTGACATGCGGACCACTTCCTGGGAAGTATAGCCACTAGGCGTTCCGAATACCTTGTTTGCCCAACAGCTGAAAGCTATGCGGTCCCTGCGCCCCGGCCTAAGCATACAGCCCTAGAGGCCTCAAGAGCCCCAGCTTCCATGCTTCCATCTAAGGAGGGCAAAGGGTTGACGCTTTCGGCTGCTACAACTCAGACTAACGAACATTGGAACCACAAATTGTCAAGCAAGAACAAACCATGACCAAGCGAACCAACAACCGTCTCACTATGACTCAATGCCTTGGGAGGAAAAACAAACTCGTGGGTTTTTCAAGCCTTGACTTAGATGGCAAGACAGGTTCTCCAAAACTCTGGGCAAGGCTGACCAGCATCAGGTTCCTTATATGTCATCTTTGTACATCACCAACAGCAAACTGCCAGGATTGGCAAGCAACAAAGATTCCGCCGGACAACTTCCTTTTCGAACCCCAAAGATTCAGATGAAAGGATGCAAACACAGAAAACCACAGGAAGCACCCTAAGGGTCTTGGTACTCGTCAAGGATTGCTTCCAGTGGAAAGGGGAACACATCTCCCCTTCCAAGGCACCCTCAGCGATAAGTTCACCAGTTTCGGAACCTAGCACCAGTTCGGGGCATCAACTGCCATCCACAGGAAGCTCAACCATTTTCACACTACGTGCTTGACAAGACTGGTAGCTCCGAAAGGCTGGCTCTCAGGCAAACTTGGATACTAGTGCCTTGGCTCGGCTCCCTTCCAACCACCAGCAAGACTAATGGGAATCCCGGACCAATAAGCCTCTGGTTGAGTCCCCTTTTCGTGGGGCTTCATCACTTTTGGAGGGAGCACCCCCCTAGTTTAATAGGATCAGGTTTACTTTTTTTCCGGGGTCGACATTACCTCACTTCCTGAGTGGATTGGTAAACACAAGTGTCTAAACTTGCCGGGTACCACCAAAATGGCCCAAACAAAAAAAAACATGTCAAGTAGATCAAACTCAAGCGAGTTACCTTTGAACTAAACTCGCTTCGACTCGAGCGTCGGAAACTGCCAGAGCAGGAAGACCGCGGCGTTCGGCAGCACCATGGCGTTCAGCGCCGCCGACTTCCCCCCCTCGAAGCGCCAGCACTCGCTTTTCAACGACCCGTTTGGATCGGATCGGAGCAAGGCGCGGAGAGAGGCAAAGGGCTTCTTGGGGAGGCACAGACCTCGGTAGGCCAAAAAAAGATTCGCTAGAAGACGTCTGGTTTACCACCAAGATGGCAACCAATCCCAAAGCGGCGCAAGTCAAGTCCAGGATCTCTGTTGGAGTAAGGTATCTTTGGAGAGAATGGTTTCGGGCTAACTGAAACCCAACCCCCAACCAAGGTTTAGTAGCGTTGGGAATTCCGTGAAATGGCTGGTTTCCGTGTGGTTTCTCTCCTAAACCATACCCAAAGGGAAGAAACTCCAATGTGTATTAACGTATGCATTGAATATATTATATATATAATGTATGTTTAAACATACAATACACAATATATATATACATACATATGCTTGTATACATGTATTGTATGCTTGCAATTTGACCAAGCCACTCCTGGCAATGAATACTGTCCAAGTGGCATCGCCCCAGCATGCAGGCGCCCATGCCGTAGTAGCCTGCCTCTCCAGGCGCGAATGCGAAGGAACAGCAAATGCCGCGACATGACCCAAAGTAGAAGAAACTCTTTTCCCTGGGCTGGTCAACATTCTAGCGCTACCTTCCCCATTCTTTCCAGGGATCCTTCTTTCTAGAAACCTCCGGAAACCCAGCGAAACGGCCGGCATCCTTTGCTCTCCGTTTCCAAATCCCCCGCTAAAAGTGACTCACTTTTAGTGGGTTAAATTTGCAAATCCAGCCACTAAACACTAAAAGGCTGAAAAGCGAAGGGGATGTCCAGAAGCCACCAAGTTTTCCCTGGGCTGTTCAACATAGAGGCTAAGCTCCCTGTTTCTTTTGGCCGCAGGCCTCTCCAGATTTTGAAACACGCCGAGTGTTTGATCCGACTTTGCATCCCACGGCAACCGCCCGTTTCGCAACCCAAGATAAGGATCTTGTGGAGTATCTTTGAACAGCCCAAAGCCCTTAGTTGGAAATTTGAACAACTGAAACATGACTCTTCGGCCCTCTTCGGAGCCACCGCCAGGGTTCAGGAACTCCCAATGGTTCTGACTCAGTTTAGCTTGCTTCTCACCGACCTGGGTCTTGGACCCGCTGTGTTTAAAGCATATCTTGTTGGTAGCTTGGTTGCTGTTGACCCCTCTGCAAAGTGTGAACAACTGCTTGTGGGTCCAATCCGAAGATCCCACAAAGTGTAACCATTGCTAAAATCCAACCATCTGTTCCCAAATAGCCAAACAGAATAACCCCCCTGGTGGATTCACAGGGTATCCCCTGCAGCGAGGGTTTATCACTGTTGCAAAAGAACGCCCCCTATTTCTGCTGTGGATGAACGAAATCAATTTCGCACTACTTTGAAACCATGGATTGAAACCAGAGCGTTTCTTGGTATTTACCCTTCAATAATCCAACTATTAGACACCTGGGTTTCTTGGGTGCTGCTAATTGGTGCGACATGGACTTCGCAACCATCCACTGCCATGGCCGGTTGATTCCAACGCCCGGGCCAACGCCAGGGATTCTCCAAAAGCGAGGTTGGGTCCTGATGGAGTGGCATTCCACTGAAAGAACTAGAGGACACGGCTGGCTTGTCTTTTTGGCGTTGGTACCCATTTCGGTTGGTTTTAAAGGGAAGCGAAAACCGTTGCGCCATGTTAGTGGGTCTGCAAGAAAAAGGACGACACACAATATGTCTGCAACAGAAGAAAGGGACCCCCGAGGAAAGAATCGGACGCTTTTTGTGTATGGCATTTTGTACCCTGAGGGTTCACCCAAAAGGCTTCTTTTCGTTTCTGGTCCAACCTGTCAGATTGGGTTTAAGCTCACTGATCGAATGGACTGGCCAAAAATACAGTTTCATCTGAACTTTTTGTGCCGCTAACAACGGCAACCAAACCCCAAATAAATGACAGGGTTGGGCCCACTGTTCAAAGAACCGTGATGTGTGTTTTTGTTTCCTTGAAAGGGAAGCAGGGTCCCTGAACCCAGGTTCCTAAGCGCCTGGGTGAACTCAGGAATTGAGAAAGCTATGCTCACTTAGACCCCCTGACAGCTCCCGCTCCAGCCTTCCTGCCAGGCTGGGGCAGGTAAGGCAGCGGGAGCCAGGTGGAGAAGAGCCCGAGGTATCCTTGGACGTTGAGGCTACACCCCTTCATGTGAAAGGGACACGAAAAGGAAAGCTAACAACAACACGTGGAGGGAGCCCAAAAAACCTGGAGCCAGACCAAAATTTGGGTTGCAACCCTGGTGGTCAGCCAAGCTAGTAAGTTGTTGGTAACCTAGCTTATAACCACTCACAAGTCCCCCTAACTGGGGCTATCCCTGTTAGGGGGCTGTGAACCGAGTGGTGAACCACTTACAGACTTGGCCGAACATCTAACTAGCAACTGGTTTCCCCCAAAACCAACACCCCCAGAAGAGGGCATGACATGAAAACACCTAGCTACTGGATCAGAGGGCAGGGAAGCTGTTTGGTACTTGGGGGGGGGGGGTTGTTTTGTGGGGATGGGGGGGGGGGGGGGTAGACTTTGAAGGGAAACTAGCCCGAAGAACACCAAAGCGTGCGAGTGTTCTCGCGTTCAAAATGCAATATCTCGGCTCTGGGGTGCACTGCGGAGCGCACCCTTTTCTTGAGCCAAAACCACACGGAGTGCAATCAGCGCATTGGGCAATTATGACTATACATATCATGACTCCTCCTTGCTGGAAGAGCGTCTCTGTACACGCTCGCACAGCAATATAGGTAGCGGAGTCTGGCCAGGGACCTTAGCCTTCTAGTAGCTTAAGCTGTCCCTTGCTACGCTGGTTAAGGAAAACATAACCACACCTTCGCATGGTCTCAGACATCTGTACACCTGGAATGCTCTTTGTTAGAGCATCCGCCCTGTTGGACTTGCCAGGGGTATGCTCCACCCTCAGATGGTCCATGCTGACCCTTTCCTGCAACCACAGGAACCTCGTCTGGATGTGACGGGCCTTTCCCAGACCTGCCCGATTGACAGTTCCTTTTGCTGCAGTCGCATCTGATTGAATCAGCACCTGGGTCTCGACCGCAAAGTCCTCCAAGAGTGACTGTAGGCCTAGACCAACTGAACCTCCTTTGACAAGAGCATAATACTCCGACTCCCCAGTCGACAAAGCGATGGTCGACTGCACATTGCTGCTGTGCTTGAGCACATGCAACCCATACAGAGCAACCATGCCTGTTGTGGATCTCCTCGTTATTGCGTCTCCGGCATGATCGGAATCCACCTGGATTCGGAGCTTGCTCGGCTTGGCTTGCCGTGCAAAGACCTGACACACGTCCGGCTTCTTGATGAGGTAGCGACACAGTCGCTTCAAATCCTGCAAAGATGCCTCTGTAGGAGAAACCATCTTCCTCGCAAGATTCTTCACAGCGTGGCTGATGTCCAACCTGTCCTGTGACAGGTACGCTGCCCTCATCACGCATGAGCGATACAGGGAAGCCTGCTCTTTCGGTAGAGCTGGGCTCCGGGCTTCCTGCATCTGCAAATCCACGGACTTCTTCACGTCCGGTGTCTCCGCTCCCTTGGCATTCTCCATGCCAAGCTGCTGCACAAGCAAATCAACATGGCGTCGATCTGGCTCGATCAGGATCGCACTCGCTCCTTGATGTTGTTCACAACGAATGAGCCGGTTGAGAAAGTGGACCTCCTTGTGGTCTCCTTCCTCATCACCTATCGTCCCGAGCCATTTCAACTCGTAGGCACTGCGAAGCAAAGTATCTACTTCCTTCAGCGCCTCGGCGTCTCCTAACGCCATGAAATCATCTCCGTGCACCAGCACTCTTATTCCCAGTGTCGGGTGATAGAACACTGAGCCATTTGACTTTCCCCGGAGATATCCGGCTTTGATCAACAGCTGCGTGTAGTGCTGCTGCCATATGTTCGGGGCATCCTGTGTCCCGTACATCGACTTAGTCAAACGACCCACCATTCCCGGACTGGCGTCCTCGTCCGGCAACTGGATGTATATGCGGCGTTTGGGTACGCCATAGAAGTGGGCTCTTGATATATCCCAAAGTCCGATCTTGAGTGGTCGTCCTCCATGGGATACACGCTCAGTGGCCCATAGGCTACATAGCAGCCTCATAGCCTCTAAAGGCGGTGTTGACGAAAACAGCATGTTCTGAGGAATCCTTTCCTCTGGACTCTTCCGGGCCTTGATCTCCCGGACCACCAATCTCGACCTGAAGTTGGGATTGGCGGGGTCTCCCTTGTTGGTGTCTATCCAACGGGTGGTGATTGGACCCTTCCCGTTGGTCTCTCTGAGGCATTCCTCGAGCGGCACCTTCTCGTAAACCTCTTGCTTCCTAAGATAGTCCAACTCGAGCTGACGTGCCTCCCTGACTCGGTCTGGTGGCAAAAACCCACCATTCACGTCGTCCCAGTACTGCTCCACGTCTTCCGGCGTCACGAAGCTCTCCTCTGGGATTGGACCTGCAACTGCTGCGTCCAATGCACTCAACTGGCCACTCTCTACAAGGTGGCTCTTCAAAGTCTTCAGGACCGCTCGCACTAGCGCTGGCGGATAACGGGCCGCCGGTCTAGCGAGTCCTCCGATCAGGTGGATGTGCCGGTGCCATGGTTTCCCCGGCACATTGTTGGTGCATTCGCCCTCCAACAGTTGGGCCAAACCTGGATGGTTGGTCATCCAGCCAGTTTCTTTCCGCACATATCCTGTGCCCTGCAAACCCCTCCGGTCCGTAGCGACCATAGCCCATCTGCACATTGGGCCTCGGACAGTGTACACGTCCGGTCTCTCAGTGAGCTCACGGACCTCCGGGTCTTTCCAAGAGGTAGCACTCCACGGTGCCTCATGCAAGAAGAACCTACCTGCCTGCAACTGCTTCCTGTAGAACCTACAGGCGGTATGCAAATGAGCAACTGCTCTATCCATCTTCTCGCGCCTCTTGTCTGGGCTCACCCTGTACTTGTTGATGTTCTGGAGCTGGGAGAATTGGTCACAAGGTGGGCTCCCTGTGAGCAATGTCGGCTCGACCTCGTCCACATACTCCTCGAGCTCTCGGACGTCCTCAGTCTTGCTGAGATCCCAGTAGGAACCGTCCGGTTTCTGCTCCTCAAGGTCTACCGCAAAGCCCGGCCTCAAGCCATACTGCCCGGCTTGGGCCGTGAACCGCTTCGGGCTGTAGATCTCCATGATATCAACAGCGCCCATCTCCACGCACAGCTTGGTGATCTGCTCCAGCTCGACCGCGTTGATCTCCACCTCCTGAGCCAAAAACGCTCTCTCTACTTTCCGTCCAACCATGGACTTCAACATCCTCTTCAATCGACCCAGTTCAAGTCCACCCACGTCTGGGGGCTTGTCCGGGGTGTTTGAAGTCTCGGCGTCAGCCGCCGGTTGAGTCTCCGTTCGGAGTTCTTCAGGAGATACTGCGGGCTCTCGCTTCTCACCTTGCTTCTGCTGCGTCTTCTGCTTGGCTCCGGGCGCTATATACAGCGCTCCCGGTCTCTTGATCTGCGTGGTCGGCTTCGCCTTGCTCTTTGGGCTACTCGATGCTGGCGGGTCTGCTGCTGCTCTCTTGAGTTCAGCCCTCTTCGCGGGATCCTCCACATACTCCATCACTTGTCCAGGGTCTTGCCTAGATCCTACTCCGGCCTCAGCGGCCGGCTCTCCCATGGCCTCTTGGGCTGGGAGATCTGCTTCCACTCCTACTTCCGCGGTCTCCTCTCTTTTCCTTTTGTGAGCTTCGACACGGCGTCGTCCTTGCTCATCATCCATCATGAGACCGACGATTCTCGCTCGGCACATCTCAGTGTGCGGCAACTGAGTGGATTCCCCTAGTAGCACGCAAGTGCATCCAGGACATCCATCAGTAGGTTGGTACTTCTCCACATCTGCCTTACGGATGTAAATCCGTCGCTGCTGTGGCGGTGCCATAACAGGCACAACCTGAGGCGGAACCTCAACCCGGTCTTCACTGACCAGCAGGTCCTCCACTCCTTGAGCAGGAGTTCCCGGGGCCCTCTGCCCCGGCGTTCCCGGCGCTCGCACTGAGACCTCCCACGGGTAGCCTTTAAGGCTTTCCCATCCTTGTGGATTCCATTGATCTTCTTCTGGAAGTCGACGAACACCAGTGCCTCTCTTCACTCCTTCTGAGGTCACAACCAGCAAAGTGCCAGTCCTTCCGTGGTGACCTATGTACCTGCCTTCCTTGAGTGGCCTAGCTCCTTCTCCTACCTCACGGTAATACAACCGCTCTCCTATGGCGATTGCCGGCTTTCTCCATTCTCGGCCACACCTCCTTTGTTCCGGTGTCTTCCCGTCGGAACCTCTCTTGTACCTGCACATCAGGTCTGCTGCATGCCTTGGAAACCAAGACAGCACAGGGTCGTCATCCTTCAAGACTCGACCCAACTTCTCCTCCAGTGAGGATCGCAGGACTCTCACCTGCCTTTTGAGTTCTCGGCACAAGTTCTCGATTGCGCCATTCGCCCGGTGGTCAGCCACCGGCGACTCCTGTGGAACATTCTCCACTCCTGCTTCCTTGGCCGCCTGCTCCTTCAGGGCAACGATCGAATGCTCACCATCACTCTTGAAGACTGCACGACGGTAACCAAGATGCTTTATAAAGTTCGCCATGAATTTGACCGCATATGGCGTCGGTCCTTTTGCGTCCACGAAGGTGGCCGCAACGGCCAGTGTCCGACTGTCTCGGATCACCAGGATAGGCTTAGTCTTCCCATCCTCCTTTCCATCTCGCGTCATCCATGTGTAGTCGCACGAGATTGTCGCGAGCTCATCGCTCGCCTTGTCCTCTTCGGGTCGTGAGCGATGCTGCTGACCCAATCCTCTGCCGGCAAGACAATGCCGACACCAGTTGCGATACTGCACGTGACCTGTTGCCTCATGCTCCGCAACCTCGGCCCTCGATGGGCCTCCTGGTGCTCTCACCAGTGCGGGCGGCGCGATCTCGCCGCTCTCATCCATCTCATCACCCTCGGGCACACCTGCGGGTCGGCCCGCTGGTGCCTCTGGGTTCCCTTGTCCGGCACCCACGGCATCATCTGCCGCTGCAAGTGGTTTGGCCGGACTTACGCCTCGCTGGACTGCCGTCCAAAACCCGAACAATCTTCCGACTTCAAATAGAAGTTGTAAACTCCTTTCTCTTGGTATATGGGCAACCAAGTCTTCTTTTGGGCTTTACTGGGCTTGTTGAGCAACTGCTGAATTTTCCTTCCTGTCGCTGAGTCTGCTGGAATCAACTGTCCACCATTTTGATCAAGAACAGCCATCCTTCCATGGTTGAGGCATTTGTAAGCTGAAACCAACGGTTTGTGTACCGGTGCTAATGGCCCTGTGACTTTACACCTGGAACCTGTTTCACTCTTACCTTGAAACGTCCCGGTTCCGGTCCCAGGGACCAGTTCCCCCGATGCTGTCTTGAACATCATCTGGGCTCCTTCCTTAGTGGGGATGCGGTCTTTCCAATCCACTGGAATAGCAGTTTGAGCAGCCCCCGTATCAAGGTTGAACCGAACCCAGGTTGGGTCTTTCAGGGACTCTCCCTGGGTGAATGCACCCAGCTCAAACATTCCCACTTCGGCCTCCGGTTGTTCTTCTTGGTCTCCAGCTTCGTAGTCGGCGTCCTCGAATCCTGCCACATGCTTCTGCTTGGAGCCAGACTTCCCTGAGCCTTTGGAACCTTTTCCATCCTTCTTCTTGCTCCAACACTCGGCCGCTCTATGGCCGGTCTTACCACAGTTGAAGCATGCTCCTGCGGATCCTGAGCTGCCTGAACCACTGCCTTTACCTTTTCCCTTGCTGTCCTTACCTTTTCCTTTGCCTTTGCCTTTGCCTCCACCTCTGTCCTTTCCCTTACCTTTGTCTCCTTTCTGACCTTTCGAGCCTTTGACCAGCGAGTTGAGCACCTTCGTGAAGGCGTCCACGTCCATCGGGGCGGGGCCTTGCCCCGATCTCGAAGCCCCACTGGACCCCGGTCGATGGATCGTCCCCTTGGCTCCCGTGACTGTTTCAATCAGAACCTCAATCTCCTGTTTCATTTCCTCGTAGGTTCCCAGCCGGTTCTTGTTCAGAATGAGGTGGCGCTCAATGTCGGTTGGAACCAGAAGTTCTAGGGACGTACACTTTATGTCCTGAGAGAGGATTTCCCTCTCGCCCCTTTCGTTCCTTCTGGCCTCATATCGGCGCATCAAATCATCTAGTTGTTCCATGGCCGGTCGAACTGCTTCCCAAGACTTAACTCTTTCGGGGTTGAGGATGGCCCTTAGGATGTTCCTCTTCCTACCTGCGGTGAGAGGGTCCCATCTCCTGTTAAGCCTTCGCCATGCCTCATACCCGTTCTTGGCATTGATGACCAGATCTTCGGACTCATGAGTAGTAAGGGATGACAACAACCTATACAGCTGGTCTCCCTTATCATCCAGTCCGGCCATTCCCAGTTCACCTCCATGTTCCTCTTCTACCTTTTCAACAGTGATCTCCTCATCCTGATCAACTACCCATTCAAGGATTGACTGGAAACTAGATCCAAAGATTGCCGTTGTAAGGTTCACCACAGACCGGGCCCATCTACGGAAGTGGCCGTCATCATTGGAAAAGACTTCCGGTCTTCCAATCCCTTTGGTGTCTATCAACAACTTCCTATCTCCCCTCTGCAGGCTTGTAGCTAACCTACCAAGGTTCTCTGCCAAAGCAGCTATACCTGCCTGGCCTTGCCTAAGAAGTTGATTCTCCTGTGACAACCGCTCAACTGCCTGCTGCAACTCTCGCACTGTTTCCTCCATGCCTTATATCCGGTGCCAAGCACCGGGAGGTCAGTCCGCCTTCCCGGACTCTTCTGTACTATAGTACGACCCCGAGCTCGATCCGCTTTTCGGCTCCGGCGCCGGTTGATCGTGAAGGTGCACACTGCCCTCGGTCTCGCTCAGGGGTGTAGCCGGCGACGGAGTCGGTGGCGGAGGTGGCGGCCGCTTCGGCCGAGCCAGCGAAACCTTCGGCTCGCTCTTGGGCTTCTCGATGTGGGCCTTCTCCTTGAGCACCCACTTCGGTCTTGGCGATGGAGGTGGTACCTTCGCCTCTATAGCCGCTTTTGCAGGAGGTGGCTTCACCTGAGGCTTCGCGATAGCTTCCGGTACTGACTTTGAGGTCGTTCCTACCGGTGCGCGCCTCCTTGCCGCCCCTTTTGCAATTGCTGCGGCCCTGGCCAACAACGATGGCCTCTGAAGGCGAGTCCTCTCGTCGCACGAGGAACACGGGTTCCCTAACCCGTCCAGTTGCAGCACACTCTGCTGGATGGCTTTGGCCACCGAGCCCGTTGCTCCGGCTCGGTATGCAGCTTCTGCCGATGCCGCCTTCCTGAGGCGGTAGTTCGAGGCCAGGTTCTGCTCGCTCGTCCCTTCACCGCGGGATGTCCTTGCCACCGCAAGCTCTTGTATGTTCCTGTGCACCGTAACCCGTCGGCCGAGAGCTTTGGCTGCCTCGGCGACCGGTGCCAGCAGCTCGGGCTCAGCGCCCGGTGAAGGCTCCTTTCCTTGGGCCTTTGTGAATCCCTTCGGCGGTGTCTTCGGAGCAGGGCTGGACTTAGGCGGGGACTTCGGTGGTGTCTTGGGCTGCACCCGGCGCCTCTTCCAGGGCGCCTGCCCGAAGTTCTCGATCTCCTCCTGGAGCTCCGCGGATGGCTCTTCCTGCTTCTTCTGCGCGAGCTTCAGGAGGCCTTTGAGGATCCTAAAGTGCCGACTGTTTTGGCTTCTCCTCTTGTCTTTGCCAGTCGCACTCTGCCACCACCGAGATCCTGACGACCTAGGCGTGTGAGCGACCTTGGGCTCGGGCTGGATCCTGCCCTCGCTGCCCCAATCGCCCCACACGCTCTCGTCCTCGCTCTGGCCCTTCTGCTCCAGGTCGAAGTCCGTGGCCTCGGGCTCAAACTGCTTCTTCTGCGGCGGGTGGAGGTCCTCCTTCTTGTCCTCGTTGGTGTATTGTTCCAGCTCCTCCTCCTTCTCCTCTGCCCGGCTTCCTCGAGCCGGTTCTGGGCCCCTGTGGCCACTTGGCAGAGCCTCTGGCTCTGAGGAGGGAGGAGATGCAGCCTGGGATCCTCCCCAGTCTGCTTCTGACTCAGCGGCAGGCTCAGCGGACAGGGTCTCTTCCTCTTCTTCACTCGGAGGGGCAACTAGTTCCGGCCTCTCCTCCGGCAGCTCTTCCGCTGCCCCGGTCTCCTCGACCGGCTCTGCGGCTTTGCCTTTGCCGCGAGCGGGCCGCCTCCACGGCGGCTCCTCCTTGTTGCTCTTGCCCCTGCCCTTCTTGCCCTTGCTCTTGCCCTTCTTGCCCTTGTTCTTGCCCTTCTTGCCCTTGTTCTTGCCCTTGGGCCCCTCGTACGGCTTTCCAAACCAAATGGACCGTCGAGGCTCACCCGCTACCATCAAAATGCAATATCTCGGCTCTGGGGTGCACTGCGGAGCGCACCCTTTTCTTGAGCCAAAACCACACGGAGTGCAATCAGCGCATTGGGCAATTATGACTATACATATCATGACGCGTTGATCTCACAAATAACCTGACTCGGTGTTCAATCTACCGTCTACCGCTAGTGAAGAATCGTTTTCGGATGCTGTGTTTGTTGTTGAACAGAAAACCCATCAATCGAACGAAACTGAGAACCAAACCAAACCAAGCGCTAAAAGATAACCCAGCAACTTGAGAGAATACACGTGAACGAAACCAGCAATCCGCGAGGCAGAAAGCATAACTGTTCTGGGGAGAACACTTTCCAAACCCTTGATATGGTAGCAACAAATGTGTTTGCTCTGCAGCCCTCTAGTAAACATAAACAGAACCCAACAAACGAACAACAACTGAACACATGCCAACAACAGTGAATAATATTCTTCGTTGCCCAGAACATGGGACTCTTGGGGTGTTCACTTCTTTTGGAGGGAAGTTTGTATTGCCTCGCAAGAACAGCTGCCCAATGACATAGTAGGCCACCCCAAGGGTCCCGATTGATTTTGGGGCCTGGAAATGGGTCGTGAGGGGTCGAGGTTCTCCATCGGAGGGTCCCGCAGGTCTGCGTTGGAGGGGTCATGAGTCATGCCTTAGGCTACACTCCCTCAGACTAACATGCAAGCTCCCAGGAATGCTTTAGAAGACCTGGTTCCATTTACACAGGCCTTCTGGGAGCTTCCCATGTTAGCCTAAGGGAGTGTACCAATGAAACAGCGAGAACGAAAAGAGCGGCGGCAGTTGGGCTGGGCATCTGTGCTCATAGCTCTTGGTGACCGACTTCTTATCCGGGTATGTGACCTCAGAGTCGTGAGCGGATCTCAAAAAAAGCTGTACCCTCGCCCCAATCAAAAAAGCTGTGCCTGGAAACTCCACCCTTAGAACATGGGGCCATAACCGCCAAAATGTGGGTACTAACACAATCTTTTAAGTGTCATGCAGAATCCAGGTAAGCCCACAGGCCAATTCAGGCTCCTTCAAGTGGCTGCAGTCATAATATAGATAGTTGCGCTGCATTGCCCAGACTACTTTCGTCGGGTTAAGGTGCGACTCCATGTTGGGGGGGGAAGGGGAAACAAGTTCACCAAAACGTTTGGCTTGCTTTCGGTTTCCCGAGAAACACGTCCCAATCATGGCTCCCCAATGTTAGGACGGGGCATTGACCAGGGGATGTATCTTGGTTGGTGGGCCACAGGACAGGGTCAAAAGCTGCAACAGAATCGTGTTTGGTTTTCGATCGTACCACGAAACAAAAACAAAAACGGGGGAACTACCTACAGCCAATACAACTAACTAAACAATAGAACCAACTAGAAGCATCATTTAATACACACACATACACACACACCAGAACAATAGCGCAAACAGCACAAGCAAGCAAGCAAGCAAGCAAGCAAGCAAGCAAGCAAGCAAGCAAGCAAGCAAGCAAGCAAGCAAGCAAGCAAGCAAGCAAGCAAGCAAGCAATCAAGCAAGCAAGAAAGCAAAGCAAGCAAACAAACAAACAAATAAAGAGGCAGAAAGACAGAGAGACAGGGTCAACAAGAAGCAGCGAGACAAACCAAGCCGCCCAACAGACAATCACAAACAAACTAGTTACTACGGTCACCCGTTCTTGACACGTGATCTTAAACATATTCTTCACTCGACCGCACCGGAGCTCTGAAACGGAGCTGATCCGTTTGTTTTTTTCTTGCCCCACCTTCAGTGTCACGGAGCCGTAGGCAAAGGCGGAGTGGTTTACGAAGCTCACTTTGGCCACGGACCCGTTGAAGCTGCTGTCCGCCATACCGAACAACCCGAACACGCCGCCGCTTCTTTCAAGGGTGGTGTTCCGGTAGCGGCGATGCACCAGCTCATGCAGAGAGGCCTGGCAGAAATTGAGTCCAGCTGGAGTCTCTTGAACATAGGTGTTGTGGAAAAACAGGAGTGGTTTCCCTGGTATGTGGTGTATAAAACCAATCTAAACCAGTGGAACGCATCAAGGACACCTATGCTGAACCTTCTTTCAGGCGGTTGGTGATGTACTCAGTGGCACATCGCTGCGCAAGTGAAGTTGTCTCGAACTAGGGGACCCCCTGAAATCCGTCTGGTGAACTTACTCGGCTTCCGATTCCAACCATGCAACAGCTAAGAAACTATCCTCCCATCCCGCCCACTCTACAAAAAACCACACACCCCTCCCCCTTGGGCCCCCCCTCCTCCCCCCGCCAGACCCAGAGAGGAGCCGGCGGACCCCTCTCCTGGGAGATGGTGATTGTTGTGATTCGCTGTTTTCGTTGTTGTTGTTTTTCCTCGGTGTTTTCGTTGTTGTTCGTTTTCTGGGCAGACTGTCTTCTGGAAAGCGGAAGATGCGTAGCCCATGTTTTGGTATTGGCAAAGGGGTGGCAAGTTGACAGACGAAGAGGAATTGCACACGAGCGGAGATGAGAAATGGAAGATGCGTATAGTGTCCGTCCTTGGAGCAGCCACCAAATTGGGAGGTTCCAACTCAAGTCCAAGGCATGCTCTGCTAATGAGTACGCGGGCCTGACATTTTGCATGCCGAAACAACACAACTTGAGCGGCTTGGTTGGTTCCATTATCATGGTTATAGAGGTTGCGAGGCGGAAGAGGACTTATTTGCATTCATGTTCATTCCCGTGATGGGCTGCAAGCCTCGAAAAGTGTCGAGAAGCAATCGGCGCTCTCGCGAAGCGCTTTTTTTTCTCCTGTTTTATCGTGCACCTGAGTGGGTGGTTCAAAAGCAGTCCTGGAACTTGTTGTTTACCACAAAAAATGTATTGCCAAAAGTTGAAAGTCCAGGAACTCAGGATAGTGAGATACCTTACAGAGACGGTTGATAGCAAATTGAAAAAGGAAAACAGTTCCGATAAACACGATGAACAAAAAAGCGAATATGGAAACCATTTAACGTTTAAAAAAGGGAAAACATCATGATGTGCATGTGAACACATACGTTTTACTATTGACACAACAGAAATGTATATATTAAAAGTGAGAGACCGTTGCATCCTTTAAACAAATATTTAACTTGGCTTTTACACCTTACCCAACTCTCATTTTGATGTCATGTCAAAATTAAATAGATTAGTTTGCGACCAACATATGCTTGAAAGGACTAAACAAAGACCAAGGCGAGGAATGGCACAAGCAACCTGCAATAAAGTAGAACCAATGAATATGTATATGGGTGGCAAAGTCTGAATGAACTATCTGCGCAAGTCTGCCAACATTGTGAAATGAGCTCACTTCTGGCAACATCTGTCTAAATGACCTGACATACATCCCTTACATAAGCAACAGGCGTGATTTCTTGGTGTTGGGGTGCATATTTTCCTAGACCTTCCAAGCTGTTCCTTGTTAGCCTTTTTCTACCTTTCTAACAAGAACTGTTTCTTTTCGGACAAGCGGCGCATTTATATGTTTCAAAGCACTTCTTGCATGTTTACTGATGTTTGAGCCAAACCTGTGTGTGAAAGGGCAACTTTGTGCGATCAGAAGGCGACTTTTCTCAATCAAAACGCGACTTTCCCCGACCAGGTCTGGCGCAGCACAATGAAAGTAATTTTGGCACGAACCAGTTCCTTTGCCGGAGAAAAGAAGAAGAAACAACAAGAAAACATCACAATGATCAGCTGTTTCGCGAAAGAGCAGAGAAAAGTTGCAGCTGGAAAGTCCAGGATACATATATATATATATGTATATACACTTATTGCGTTGAACAATACTTAGAGATAATGATCTTCTCGTTTTAAGGGCCACCAATGATTGCCAAAAGGGAACACCAAAAGGCCATTTCAGGTCGATTCACTTCGGTTGCGAGTGCGCAGTGTATTACAGCAATGTCCATGTTGGACTCCGGAGAAAAGACCAACCTTGCCCGCAGTGACTCTGTTTTCAGATCGCCTGAATACAAGATTCGGCTCAAGTGCTCCACATGGGAGTTTCTCAGGGTGGACCCCCGTTAAGTTGGTATCTAAACGGACACCATAAGGAAACCAATCATTTTTTCATTCTTGCTGTTGACCACTCGAATCCTTCCAGTTCATTCCCAAACCAGGGCAACCAAATCGATTCCCCATCTATCGAACCAAGATAAGCCCATGTACTCTCCTTTGGTAGCTTTGAAGGGTCTGCATTTCTCACTTCTTGAGTGGATTGGCCAGGAAAAGTCCGAACTTTTATTTCCCACTAGTATCTACCACTGGTCTTGACCAAAAGTTTGTCCAGGCGCTAGGGGAGTGAGATGTGTTTCTTTACAATTCCAACACCTGACATACGAATTGGATCGAAAGGACCGCATGCCCGATCCTTCATTTGCATAAATCACCTGAAACAAAAACACCAGTATCATTTTCTTGGGTGGTTTGGGGATTTGAACAGGCTGTTGTTGAGGGTAGATGGCCTTCCCTAACCACCAAACCACTAATCTAAACCACCAATTGGACATACTTGTACCCTACACAATGAGAAATCGCTCCATAGGTTTCGGGTAATACCCCATTTTGAAGGGTAGTTTGAGGGTCCAGCTATTCTTCCCTACCAAACCAACTAAAAACCTAAAAACCAAAAAGCCTAAAGAACAGGACGGCAGAGAACCGAGTAAAGCAATCTGGGCTGCTCTCAGACCAAGGTGTAACTTGTGGGTTAAATTCGGAAACCCAACCACTAAACAAAAAAGCTAAACCACCGAAGGAACCGGATGGCTGGGAACCACCCAATGGAAATGGCTCCAAGCAGTGACCTTTTGGCTAAGAACTTTCGAATCTAAACCAGTGCCATCCACTTCCTGGAACACAATTACTTTCCATGGGGTGATTCTGCTCAAACCCATGAAAATCCCGTGTTTCACGGCCATTTCGCCCAATTCTCCAGGTAAACCGCACCAACCTCAGGACCTCCACTTCCCTGGCTAACGGTTAGCTACTTGGCTCGCTGCGCCGCCGGATCGCCTCCCGGGGCGCCCGGTCGCAGGCGGCCGCCCAGAGCCCCGCCAGCACCAGCACCACCAGCGCCAGGTCCCTCCGCCGTGCCAGGCGCTCCTGAAGGCCAGGCCGGGCCCCAGAAACATCGAGCGAGTGGCTCATGGTGTGCTGCCTCATGGTTGCCCCATTTGCAACCAGGCTCGATTTTTCATGGTGCCCAGTCACTGTGCACAGTGTTGAATCCAGTGTGCCCGACCCCTGTGGAGCTGAAAGCAGGAGGATTGCGGAGATTATGTTCCTTTCAGGGCTTCCCCTTGGGAGAATTCCCACCTGGTCGACCACCATGATCCTTTCAAACACTGTGAAACCACCAACCGGTGTCTGATTGTTCTTTACCCCCAAGAAAGGGTCATGGGTCTGTCTTCTTTAGGCTTTTCCCGGCAAAAACAAGAACCCAGGTGGTTGTCCATGTTCTTCTCGGTTAAAGCCACCAACTGGAAAACACCCTCACCAACCATCCACCCTTTCGGGTTAGATAACTTTGAGCGGTTGGAACTTGTTGTGAAAACCCATTCTTTGGGGACCCTATAGGTCTCAAGAATAGAAATGCTGTCGCAATTTGCCAATTTGCTCAAAATCAGACACCCCTGCGCAAGGCTGGCGTCCTATTGATTTTCCCTTCAATCCCCAAAGTGGATCCCTTGCTTTGAAATCAACACCGTGTACGCGTAAGCGGTTGGAGCCTTTGGCGGACTTACGGGATTTATGTCCATCAAACTCAACAGGGAAAGAAACACAGCGAACCAGAAACCGGGACCCTGATTAACCCCAGTCCGGTAGGCGAGCGCAAACCCTGTTTTGATGATGGGCATTGGTCACTTGAGCCAAACGGGCATTGCCGTTCGACATGCGTTCGTGCAATCAACGGGGCCTCCAACATCAGAAGAGACTTGTATTTTACAGTGGCGCTTGAGCTGCGACCCATGTGATGCAAGGTCCTTTACCAGACCATAAAGAGGGCTTACCTATGATTTTTGCACTTTTGTTACTGCTTGGTCATCTCAGGCCGGACATCTTTTAACTTTTCGGGCAAATTGGTTCTGATGCCCAAAAGCTTGAGAGCGTGGTCCCGCTTCAAGGTTTGCAGTGCTTTTGTGAGGATATGTCGGCTGTGTGTAGATCGGTTGCTACATACTTGATCACTACGCCCGTGCCGGGTTCTCAAGACCCTGCTGAGCCTAGGCACGCACACCTGCATCCCAGACCAGGGGGTCACATAAATTCAAAAGGCCACGACAGCCCTATGCAGCATAGCTACATCCAACAAGCCCAGCATAACGTTTGCTTGCACCTTGTCACTGTTCTCCATCGAGCCCACTTGCCTCCCTGCTTACTTGCCCCTGCCTGCACGCACCCACGCATACGCGCAGAGAGTCAAAAGCAAGTGCACAGAGACACCCACGCGCACATGTGCCCACTTGCCCAGCCCGCCCACCCACCCACCCTCCCGCCTACCCACCCACCCGCCCACCCACCCGGCCACCCACCCACCCATGCGCACTCACACACACGCATGCGCACACGCACTCGCGCACACCTGCGCACACTCACACACACACATGCGCGCGTGCACACGTACTTGCACACGTGCGTGCGTCTGCGGGCGTCCCTGCCAGCTTGCCTTGGCGCACCGGAGGTGGCACACCTCGTCGCTAGCCCCCAAACTACACCTGGGCGGATTGTGTAAGCAGGCATGCCAGCATCTATGCGCAGCCAGGTGCGCAGTCACTTTGCACGCAGGCGTGCTTGCGCGTGGGGGTGTGTGGAAATGACCTCGCAGTGCAAAGGATGAGGTGCTGGTCTTCCACACCCATCCTTAGCACTGCTGCATCATTTCCTTCTGCAGGCACTTGATTTGTGACAGTCTCATGCTTACATCATACGTAGATAGATTGATGATGACAGCTATAGCTAGCTGCTAGATAAGCTGGTAGAGACAGATAATAAATAGACACCATCGCACGTGCCTTCACAGACTTGCGCGAGGGCACCGACAGACACCGACAGACGCGGGACATAGGCATGCGTGCACGCACGTGAAGACTGACGCGCAGGCAAGACTCTCACACATATGCGCACATGCGCGCACACACACTCGCACACGTATGCGTGCAGACGCGTGCGCGCACGTGCTGCGCACAAACACGCGCATGAGAAAAATATGACAGAGAAAATATGAGAAATGTGATAAGTATGAGAAAAATGACAAAATACGCGAAATGTGATACACTATGAGAGACTATCTGAGAACTATGAGAAATATGAGAACCTATGAGAAAATATGAGACATGCGCATATGTGCACATGCAGACGTGCAGACGCGCAGACACGCACACGTGCACGCGCGCGCGCCCACGCGCCCCCATGGGCAGGCACGCGTGCGCGCTCGTGCAGACGCGTGTGCAGGGGCGCGCAAGTGCGGGAGTGCGCAGTCGCAGTCACATGCACATGTGCGTGCGGGCAGAAATGCACGCACGGGCGCACCCAGGCACCCATGTGCACGCACGTGCATGTGCACGCGCACACACACGCACGTCGTGTGTGCAAGCACACAGAGACACGCAGCATGCGCAGACACACACACGCACAGACACGTGCAAACACAGACACGCGCGTGCGCGTGCACGCATGCAAGTGCATGCACAAGTGCGCACACGCCCGCCACTGCACGCGCACTTTCAGATGCAGGGGCGCGCGCGTAAGCGCCGGTGCATGCGAGCACGAGCACACACACGCGAGCACCCACACACGCACGTGCGCACAGGTGCACGCGCACTCACACTCCCGTGCGCGCATGCACACACACACACACACACACGCACACGCACACGCACACGCACACGCACACGCACACGCACAAGCACACGCACACGCACACGCACACGCACACGCACACGCACACGCACACGCACACGCACACGCACACGCACACGCACACGCACACGCACACGCACACGCACTCGCACACGCACACGCACACGCACACGCTCACGCACACGCACACGCACACGCACACGCACACGCACACTCACACGCACACGCACACGCACACGCGCACGCGCACGCCCACACACGCGCGTAACCGCGCAAGTGCAGGCACTCACGCGCCCCCACCCGCGCACCTGCGGCTTGATGCGAGTTGCTCGGTATTTTTCAGCTGTAGACCCACTGTGTTTGAGCCAAGGATGAGAGATACGAGCACACTGATGGTGTCACTGACGCAGCATAGCCCCTTGAACTTCTACTTCCACATGGCGCCTTGCGCACCGTGGCAAAGTGGCGCATTGTCATGCTTTGATCAGCTTTTTGTGCGCTGCTCCTCGTCCTTCACAGGCACTCCTGTGCCTCCTGAACCACGCTCGCTTCTATGGGCTGCAGGGGAGAGCTCTCTCCCACAATCAGACCGTGTTTCAGGCCATGACATCTGGCTTGCACACAGCCCAGACCATGGCCACTGAGTTTGGAATGGCACAGTGCATGCGAGCAGCGCCGCGGCTGCAGGGGGGGCGGGCAACTTGTAGGATCAGGCTGCTTGACAGTTGAGGTCTCCAGCTCACGTCGGCGAGTTCCCAGTTGGCACTCGAGAGCACCATAGCAGCACAGTGGCAGCATGTTGACAGCACACCCCATGCAGCCACTAAAGGTCCAGGGCCTCTAGTGGCTCTCGTGGTCAAGTGACTCAAGTCACTGCTGGCGGGTACCTGTCCAACAACGCGGCCATGGGCTTGCTTTGTTGGGCTGACTGCATAGGCGGGCTAGCAGCTCTGCAAGACTTGCAGCAAGACTTGGGAGGCCTGACCCAGGGAACCCCGGTGGGCGAAGCGACGCACAGGGAGCTGCCGCAGTCTCAGTGCTGACCTTAGTCTCAGCAGCTCATAGCACTCTGCGCCCAACTGCACTAACCTGGCCAGAGGCGATCAGACTTCAAGCAGTTTGGCCTCACAAGCCCGTCAGGGTTTGCCAAGCTTTGCATGCGAGCCTCTGAGTCGGCTCGGCGCGGGCTGGTGCAACTAACACGCCAGCTGCGCACGATTCCTCACTTGCAGTCAAAGGCCCTTCAGGAGTCCTATATCCGCACCTTGGCTGCAGCCCAGCAGCTGCTTGTTTGACTAAGTGGCTTACACTCGTCGCGACAGTGGAGGTTTGAGTCCCTTGTCAGGAGTCTCATGCCCTTTTTTGATGGTCGCCGTGTGCGAAGCGCAGACATGCCTGGGCAAAGCAAGTGCGGCCTGCTTGATCAAGCTCGCAGACAAGGCAGGCACGGACTTGGCGGGTGGCACACTGCCTTGCACTTCTGCAAGGTCCTCCAGGAGAAGTACTCCCTTCCTGAGCAATTTGAAGAAGAGGCACCTCAGGGCGCCTCATCTTGCTGGACAGCTTGCCAGCAAGCATTTGTCGACCTCTCCGTGCCTCGAGAGCCTCCTGACGCCAAGCATCGAGAAGACAAGAGTGCTGCCCAGCGAAGCTATAACTCTTATGGCGAGCAACAGTGGCTTGTGGCCATATCGCTCATGAGCCCAACGTCTCCAGACTTTAGCCTTGGTGAGACTGCAGGGCTTCTAGTGGTTTAGTGGCTCCAGTTTTTCCAGTCACCCCTGGTAAAGAGCTGGGCAAGCACTGGACACCACCTCACTCAGTGTCCCTAGCGGCCTCACCTTTGCAGCTTCAAAACTGGAAGCTAAGCTAAGTGCAGCTTTTGCGAAGTAAACATGGCTGATTCTTTGATGAGGAAGCCTGGCTCGCCTCATAGACACACCTTCACTGGTGAGATCACAGTTGCATCTGCACAGAGTCTTTCCAGTAGTGGATCAAGTGGGTCACGGCAAGCCACCGAGCATCTCAGCATTGAGGCGCAGTAGGAGACACAGAGTGCACCCCTGTGCTACACATTGGCTGGGGGGGCTGCAGGGCAGCCAGGGGGCCAGCCGTGGCTGTGACAAGTGTGTGCTAGGAGCATCCAGCTGCTGGAGACCGGGAATGCGGAGGAGGCGCAGCACATGTTTTGATCAGTCAAGTGAGGGTCTAACTTACGGCCTGTGCCAGGCTGACTCGTGGCCTG